CCGAGTGGGTGGATTTTTCACTTTAAACAGTCACATATTGTGAAGTTGTTAAATGTCTGCCTAATGTGTTTGAAAACTCCTATTTAAAGACTGGGTGACAGGTTAAGCGAGACACTAGGAATTAAAGGACCCATCAACCTAAAAATTAAACTTCTCTCTGAAGTGTTTTAACAATTATGATTCCATGGAACACATAAGATTAATATTTAATTCTTCTATCTGTCTTTCTTGATGTTTTTTATATTCCTTAAAGAGCAAGAATTTTGGCTGGTGTAAATTGTTCTAGCTCCATTTATGCCAATGGAGCTACACTAATTTACATTACCTGGGATACAAGCTCTTTGTTTAGGGCTAGATCAGTTTTTTTCTTCTGGCTTCATAGTCTGCCAGGTTCCCTTGATGATTCTTTGAGTCTTGACACAACAGTAGGAGAGAAAACAAATAATTAAGAATAAATGAAAACGGGATTGTAAAACCACAAATAATTGGCAGTTGGAGTCTAGGTCGGAATATCACCTGAAAGTACTTTACATAAAGTTATGCCAGATTCCAAAGCCCTTCTTCCTGTGGAATTATGCCTTCCCTCAGCACAATCTGACTGAGGAGGTGACACTACTTGTGCTGTAGGATGTGTGCTATTCTGTATGTGAAAGAAAGAGTATTAGGATCTGCCTCTTTATTTATAATTGACTAGTCTCATACCATGTATGAAGCAGGCTATTGAATTACCGGGGGCACTAAACAGTTGTAACATACTATATAGACAGTCATCCAAGTATTGAGGACTACTTAAACCTTCTACTATTCCTAAGAAAATCTAGGTGTCATATTTTCTATAATATTGAAAGCCTCTCTGCCTATTTTTAAGGTGCTTAATTACCTAATGCATTTGAAAGCTGCATTAGTACATGATGTTGGTACTCAGTCTTGGGTTCATTTTCTAGCTCTCAGCTTTCATTTACTGCACTTTCTTTGCTAAGTTTCACCATTAAGTACTCCTGTGGAAGGATTATGAAGATATTATTGAAGAGAATTTTTAAATCAATAGCACAGAAAATTGTGCTATGTAGTTTCAATCTTTCGATTGCATTTCACTCTTTAACTCTTTGTCTGTGAGCCTCCGTAGTGCAGTCCTTTAAATTGCTAACATTTCATGAAACACTGGCATTTCAGATGAGATGACCAAATATCTTATGCAGCACTCGGATGTTACCAAGCTGGGATGCTAAGCTAGACGTGTTAAGCAACTTGCAGTCTAAAAGACCCAGATTTTACCTTTAAAGACATATTAGGAAAGACTGTAACTAATAAATAGGGCTATTCCTTATAAAGAACTAGGAAAGCCATATTAGATAGACTAGAGCTGTGAAATGTAGACTTGTATTGTTAAAGAACTGAAAGAAGAAAGTAATTATAGAAGTCTATGTTTACCTATATCTTGTTAGAGGTTAACAAGATATAGGTAATCATATATGTCTGTCACTATGTTCTATTGATTCAAAGATGAAAAGTGAATATTAACATTTAGATGAGCTGGGAATGTGGTAATATCATTGTCTTCATTTCTCCTTGAAGTACAGGTTGAATCTCTCTAGTCTGGCACCTTCAGGACCTGACCATGCTGATCCAGAGTATTTGCCAAACCACAGAAGGTCAATATTATCTAGCAGCAATTCAACACTATCAACACTTCCCCTGCTTACTGGGTTCTTAAAAACACTTAGGGGTAAATTAGAGCTAAATAACAGCACAGACTATTGAGAGCCAAGACTGGTGGCTGTAAACAAACTGTATGGGTCTGCGAGAAACTTGTTCACATCCATGACAAGTGGACATCCAGCTAACTAAATCATGCTGGACCATAGATGCTGCTAGACCAGAGAGAGCAGGACTTAGAGAGGTTCAATCTAGATGTAATAAACTACCTGTAAATGCCAGGAGATGGACAGGTGCCTTTTGCTAATCCATGTAGCTAATTACCAGCAATGCTTAGGACGTAGGAAGACTGAACAGCAAAATAGAGACAATGGATTTTGGGAAGGCGGATTTTGGTAAGCTCAGAGAGCTGATAGGTAAGGTCCCATGAGAATCGAGACTGAGGGGAAAAACAACTGAGGAGATTTGGCAGTTTTTCAAAGGGACATTGTTAAGGGCCGAAAAGCAAGCTATTCCAATGTGTCGGAAAGATAGAAAATACGGCAAAAGACCACCTTGGCTTGACCACGAGATCTTGCATGATCTGAAAATAAAAAAGGAGACATAAAAAATGGAAAGTAGGACAAATTACCAAGAATGAATATATGCAACCAGCACAGGGGCAAGATTAGTAAGGCAAAGGCACAGAATGAGCTCAAACTAGCTATGGGCATAAAGGGAAACAAGAAGACCTTTTATAAATACATTAGAAGCAAGAGGAAGACCAAGGAGAGGATAGGCCTACTGGTCAGTGAGGAGGGAGAAACAGTAACAGGAAACTTGGAAATGGCAGAGATGCTCAATGACTTATTTGTTTCGGTCTTCACCAAGAAGTATGTAGGAATGCCTAACATAGTGAATGCTAGTGGGAAGGGGGTAGTTTTAGAAGGTAAAATAAAAAAAGAACAAGTCAAAAATCACCTAGAAAAGTTAGATGCCTGCAAGTCACCAGGGCCTGCTGAAATGCATCCTAGAATACTCAAGGAGATGATAGAGGAGGTATCTGAGCCTCTAGCTATCATCTTTGGAAAATCATGGGAAACAGAAGAGATTCCAGAGGACTGGAAAAGGGAAAATATAGTGCCCATCTATAAAAAGGGAAATAAGAACAACCCAGGAAACTACAGACCAGTCAGTTTAACTTCTGTGCCAGGGAAGATAATGGAGCAAGTAATTAAGGAAATAATCTGCAAACACTTGGAAAGTGGCAAGGTGATAGGGAATAGCCAGCATGGATTTGTAAAGAATAAATCATGTCAAATCAATCTGACAGCTTTCTTGGATAGGATAACGAGTCTTGTGGATAAGGGAGGAGTGGTAGATGTGGTATATCTAGACTTTAGTAAGGCATTTGATATGGTCTCACATGATATTCTTATCAATAAACTAGGTAAATACAACTTAGATGGGGCTACTATAAGGTGGGTGCATAACTGGCTGGATAATTGTACTTAGAGAGTAGTTATTAATGGTTCACAATCCTGCTGGAAAGGCATAACAAGTGGGGTTCCACAGGGATCTGTTTTGGGACCGGCTCTGTTCAATATCTTCATCAACAATTTAGATATTGGTATAGAAAGTATGCTTATTAAGTTTGCAAATGGCACCAAGCTGGAAGGGGTTGTGACTGCTCTGGAGGATAGAGTCATAATTCAAAATGATCTGGACAAATTGGAGAAATGGTCTGAGGTAAATAGGATGAAGTTTAATAAAGACAAATGCAAAGTGCTCCACTTAGGAAGCAACAATCAGTTTCATACATACAGAATGGGAAGCGACTGTCTGGGAAGGAGTATGGCAGAAAGGGATCTAGCGGTTATAGTGGACCACAAGTTGAATATGAGTCAGCAGTATGATGCTGTTGCAAAGAAAGCAAACATGATTCTGGGATGCATTAGCAGGTGTGTTGTGAGCAAGACACAAGAAGTCATTCTTCTGCTCTACTCTGTGCTGGTTAGGCCTCAGTTGGAGTATTGTGTCCAGTTCTGGGCACCGCATTTCAAGAAAGATGTGGAGAAATTGGAGAGGGTCCAGAGAAGAGCAACAAGAATGATTAAAGGTCTAGAGAACATGACCTATGAGGAAAGACTGAAGGAATTGTGTTTGTTTAGTTTAGAAAAGAGAAGACTGAGGGGGGGACATGATAGCAGTTTTCAGGTATCTAAAAGGGTGTCGTAAGGAAGAGAGAGAAAACTTGTTCATCTTGGCCTCTGAGGATAGAAGAAGCAGCAATGGGCTTAAACTGCAGCAAGGGAGGTTTAGGTTGGACATTGGGAAAAAGTTCCTAACTGTCAGGGTAGTCAAACACTGAAATAAATTGCCCAGGGAGGTTGTGGAATCTCAATCTTTGGAGTCCAGCTAACTAAATCATGCTAAATGTCTATCAGGGATGGTCTAGATGGTATTTGGTCCTGCCATGAGGGCAGGGGACTGGACTCGATGACCTCTCGAGGTCCCTTCCAGTCCTAGTATTCTATGAAGCCACAATGCTTCACTTACTATTCACTTACTGGCAAGAGGATGTCAGGCATAGGAGACTATAGAAAGAACTCTTGGGCCCTGATCCTGTATCTCAGATCTCCTTAAGTTTCATCAGGGAAAGCTTGAGCCACAAGACTGAGGTCCCTAACTCCAAACTGGGATACCCTGATATTAGACATTGGTTTAAAACCTATGGAACTAATTCTGAAAGAATTCTTTGCAACTCCAAACCTCAGCATCTCTTCTGTTAAACTGAACTAAGAATTGTATTGATGTCTGCATGCATAATGATATTTTAAAATGTATTCTCACTTTTCTTTCTAATACATTTTGGTTTAGTTAATAGTGTATATTTGGATAAGTTCTGAAATAGTCATTGATTTGGTGGGTAATGCGTGCGAACCTTTGGGGATTGGTTGGGGTGAGAATCCCAGTTCGCAAGAGTAGGATGCTAACCCCCTATATCTTCCTGCTTACATTCCTCCACCACTCTTTCATTTTAGTACGATATTCACCTTTGCTTCTCCATCTTAAATAATCGGCCATGTTGTTGGGCATTCATAAACAATTGCTACATTTCACCACAGAAGTTGCTGCCTTTAAATGATGGATGAAATTATTCTTGTCTGTATATGTATCCAGGTCCTAAGCTGATGTGAATTGATATATGCTGATTTGCACCAGCAGAAGATCTGGCCTGGGTTTCTAAATTGCTTTGGGGCCCTTCAGACTGAAAATGCTGCATAATATTAGTTATTATTGTGAGTCATTACAGATTAGTTGCAAATAATTAAATCACCAGAACTCTTGATTTTTTTTTTCAGAGACAGAGCTTCACCTGTCTGGGGAAAATGAAGTGCCCAGTATCCAATGTGAGTTCTGTGCAGATCCAGGGTGATTCTGATTATTTCATCAACCATCTTGGGGTCCCGACTGTGCAGTTTTCTTATGAAGACATCAAAACATTAGAGGTAATTGTGAATGGAAACAGGAACTACGAGGGAATAAAAAACAATGGAGAATCTGGTTTTACTCAGTGTGATATTCCATGCCAAGTAGGTTGCAGCAGAAAGCTATCTCATTTTAATGAATTATTTTTTATGTTTGGAAGTTTCTGTAGTACAGGCAGTCCCCGGGTTATGTACAAGATAGGGACTATAGGTTTGTTCTTAAGTTGAATTTGTATGTAAGTCGGAACTGGCTCCAGATTCAGCTGCTGCCACTGAAACTGACCAGGGGCTGACTACAGGAAGCCGGAGGCAGAGTTGTTCTGCCCCCAGCTTCCTGGAATCAGCCTGATCAGTTTCAACAGCTGCTGAATCTGGAGCCTGGGACAGAACAGCTGGGGCGCTGCCCGGTAGGTTCCCACAGGACCAACCCGGCAGCACCCCAGCTGCTCTACCCGAGGCA